GGCTGACCGGGCCGCGCCACGGGTGTAGCGGAGCGGGAGCCGCGCGGTCTGCCCGCGGGTGGGCGACCCGAGCGCTGCTTCCCGAGTGGTCCGCGTACGGCGCAGACGGCAGGTCTCACGTCTCGGTCGCAGAGGAGCTTCGCTGGTCGCGTTAAACTGCTACCCACTGTACAGGGAAGTCCACCCCCACCTGCTCCTGCCGGGGACCGCATCTGGGCCACACATCTGCCACGGCAGCCAAACCAAGCTGTGCCCGCGCGTGCTCACGCACGCTGGGAAAAGCTGCTGTTGCCGAAGGGCTGGCGCAGCCATGCCGACGGGGAGCTCGGAGGACGAAGCACCCATCCTCTGCTTCTGCTTCGGCAGGAGGGCTGGCAGCCACAGCTAGGGGAAGGCAGCAGAAAGCGAGTAGAGACCAAATCACTGTAAGGCTTTGCACAGCGACGGCGCCTGATGTGCTCGTCACGTCGCAGTTTTGGAACAACCAGCCCTCCAAAACCATGTACTGCCTGTATTCCTTTGGTTTCCCAGTCTCCATAAACACATCTCGTACTGCTGGAACTGGGTGCGTGTATGAAGTCATACTGCCACTAAACATTTACCTGCACAAGGAAGGGAAGCACCTTTACCTAAATTTAACACAGAAGTAATTAGCATTTTGGATGAGTTTGGAAAGATCGTGGTCATACATGGCAGCACAGTTGAGCTAGTTGAAGCACAGATAAAAGTTTTAGTTGTGACTATGTATTGCCTTGTTCTGAGACTGACCTGAGAGTGAGACTATGGGTAACAACAAAAATACTTCTAAAAATAAATACTCCTGCATTCACCCCAGTAAATCACATTTTGTCCAAGGTTCCCTGAATTTGCAAGTGACAATATGGTAAGTTTCACTTCTTGTAAATTGTTTAGGTGGGCACTGTACAGCACTCAGGCAAAGTTCTTTGAAATAAGGTGGGATAACAAACACTGCATGAACGTACAGTTCACTTCAGGGGTGGAATTATTATTTACTGTAAGCATGTTGCAAAGGGCTCAAATGTGAGACAGTGCAAAAAGAAAGGAACACAGAACTTACTTCCTTCTTCACCAAGCAACTAAGGCCTGTATTGGAAACCAGCATTTTTCACTGGTTTTGATCTACCATCTCATGGCAGCATCAGCCCTGACCAGAGAACTGAACTGCAAGTTCTTTGCCCTTCCTCTGTCTGAAATTGGTGCAAAAAAACCATAAACAGAGGGAAAGCAGCAGGATGGAAAGGATGAATCACTTTCACTTGCAGCGATAATCTAAGAACATAATTGGTAACATAAACATTTCCTTCATTAATCATTAGGATCTCAGTGTTGTGTACATCACTTTCACTGGTGGAATGATGTTGGATCAATGAAACAGCACGCAGGGTAGTTATTCAACAACAATGAATATCTGCTCCAGCTGGCTCCATCTTCAACACTGAAATATGAACAGTCCTTGGATCTGGAGAATCTAAAAGATGACTCTTCCCCAGCTGACAGTCTCTAAGGTCAGTGCAGCGAAAAACAAAGCTTTCAGGGAAGCGAAGCCTACAGTAACACCTTATGGAACTTTTTATCTGGTTTCTCCAACCTATGAAAAAGATTTCTTGTGCAGAAGATCAAGAGTCATTTTAGATTGCTTGCTGCTGCCCAATCACTATAAAAATTATTTCAAAAAGAAGCTTCATCTTTTACACTAAAGTTGTTTCTTTTGTGGGCATTTTAAGAACGCAACAGAATTTTTTTATAAGCCCACTCAAACAGACTGAACTGTTGAAGTGCTCTAATAACCACCGAAACCAAGCTCTGTTTTTCAAGAGCAGTGAAAATAGAGCACTAGGGGAAGGGCATCAATGTGCCCTGTGATCATTCAGATGTGAAAATCTCCCCACCGCTCATAAGCCCCTTACTGTCTATAAGGATAATCTCCTGCGTGAAGGTTTGTTGCCATGTTTTGAAAGACCTTGATTAGTCTTCATCTGTACCACTGAGATCCGATTCTTTCAAGACTGGCATAACCTAACAGCAATTTTGCTTAGCTTGGCCCATGTTCACCAGTCTAAGAGGGAGTCGAAAGGTAACAAGCTTGGATGGATGCTATACTAAACCAGACTGGCTTTACATCTGGACAGGTCAGCTGGGATGTATGCTGCCTTTCAGACAAGGCTGATCACAGGGAAAAGGTTACATGTCGACAGGGTGAACCACATGGAAAGAGATGGGATGCACATCCAGAAATTGTTATTCAAAGCAGATTCAAGTAGCTCATGGTGGCTTTCTTATCAAGGTTAGAGTGAAGCGTAGCCAGAACTTGTCTCTGCACAATTTTAACTCAGCAGAATCGTTTTATACATAAACAAATGGTTAAGTGTAATTAACAGGCTGGAACTAGGCTTGACCACTTTGAAGATCCTTGTTTAGCCACATCCCAGTGGTAGGGGAATCTGAAGCTTCAATTAAGCTAACCCACTAGACTAGTCCATATTAGGAAATATGCACTGCCACCTCAGATGCCTGCACAGATCTCTACAGTACTGAAAGAGCAGAACAAAGTTCATCACGCACCAGAAGGACAGCAATACCCACACGAGCTTTAGCCTAGAATTCTAGTAGTCTGTCTTTCATCCAGGGCAAATGCAGTCTGTCAGCTGTGTAACAGAACAGCTTATGAGAATGGATTGTAGTAAATTCCTAACAAAACCCTAGTGAGCACAGACCACATGGGAGATAGCTGCAACATGCGTTACCTCCTACCTCTCCCTCACTCCCCAAAGTACCCACTTCCAGACCCAGTCATATAAGGTGCTATTAAAACTGTGCTAGAGATGAGTATTTGAAGATGCTGCATATTCTGCACTCCTAAACCTCATAGAAAAGGATTTACATACTACCTTTTAATCCTTCTGAAATGACCATTTTCTTCTAAGAACATATGGGAAAAGTAGCTTCTCAGGCTAGGTCCAACGCAGAATATATGAACACTAATTTGGTATTTGAATTCAGACGAAAACAGAGGTCTTACCCACACCTTGCACTGACCTGAGAGCCACCAGTTATTTCTCTATTTCCTTAGGGATAGGCAGTTTACGCTAAGTCTCCTATATTTAATTCAGTAATTACCCATTAAACAGCAACATGACAGAGCTCCTAACAAGCTTGCTCATCGTTGAAGCTCCAGCTTATATCTGTTGATCAGAACTATTATATAATATTCTGAATACAGTTTGAGATCTCAACCCCCCTCACCAGATTAGTATATAGTAGCACAAAGTATGTTACTGTTATTGTAGACAACACTGTAAATGCACACAGATTGTTAAAAGACATGATACTGTGAGAAGCAAAGCTCGATACTGCAGATATTTTGTTATTAAAAATGCTTTGATCCTACTGCTCTTAAAAGAATTCAGGAGATAATGCAAGGCTGACTTTACAAAATCAGGAAGCTGAAGTCCTCTCTTTTAGTCAGGTGATGCCAAGAATGCAGTAACTGAGTGTGCAATATCAAGGCGCTAGAATTAAATGCGTTGGACCAATCTTAAGCAGTAGTGAGTTTAGTTCAACTGGGACACTGCTCAGAATCAAGTGGAAAATTTTCACCACGGCGATCAAAGGTTATAGTGTAAAGAGAACTTTTCCAACACTGTTCATGGACTTGCGTTTCACTCCTTCCATGAAGGGGTGCCAGAACATCTTATGTGCCAGCTAGCCTGAGGGGAAAAGAAACCCAAATAAACTGTGTACAGACACAGCTCTGGTTAAGTCTGAAACAAGTGAAGGAACAAGACCAGCAGCATAGCTTTTCACATTTAATCTGTGTATCTTTTTTTTTTTTTTTCAAATATATGCCACATTACTTTTAACAATCAAGTGACACACCTCTATAGATTAATAAATCAAATATTTGACTTGAAGTCATTGTTTGAAGAGTCCTACGTGATATGTCATTATCAGGAGGAATGTACAGTGACTGAATGACAAGATGCTGTCTTCCAGACAGCAAGAAAAATAATAAATGCAGGCAACAGGTTGACAGCTGAAGTTGTTATCTTTAATGAAATGACTTTGGAAATAGCATCTGTTTCCATGACACCAACATTTTGGGAGTCCCATAAAATGCAGAGTTACATTCCAATGCCAACATTACAGGCAGATCTCCTTTCACATGGCAAATAGGATCAAGAAAGCAACCATCAGACAGAAGAGACCCATAGCTTCAGACAGGGCGAATCCCAGGATAGCATATGAGAACAGCTGCTGCTTCAGAGAAGGATTTCTAAAAGAAAGCGAAGGTGTAAGACCTTTTTATCTTTACGATTAAGATGTTTTTTCATACAGTTTAATACATCTTACAGATTCAGAACCTTGCACTTCCTTAACCCAGATTCCGTAACAGGAAAATCCAATAAATCCAAGAAGTATTTTTTTAGTAAGGATTTCACTGAAGACAAATGACTTGGCAATTAAAACTATTTTCAGCTTTTGCAGCTTGTATATGGCTTTTCTATATGAGCACAGTTTTTGTGACTACATTCATATATGCTTTTGAATTTGACTTCTCTACATCATCCCATGCATGAACTATGCTTCATAAATTTCACATCTATGAAATTAGAACTATATTCCAAGAAGGTTCGTATACAGCATTTTAAGTAGGTCTCAGACAAATACAGGAACTGAAACCACCTACAGCAAAAAAAGAAATACACAAGTTTGTTACAAAACTGCAATTATCCCTCCAATAAGTGTGTGGGAGAGCAAAAAACCTTCAACATAATATTATGAAGTAATGCTCTACAATCTCTTATTGGCATGTTCATGTGAAAAATCAATGAAGGAGACATTAGTTTTGTAATGAAAACACTTGTTTCTTCAAGTGGAAAGTGAACTTCCTTGTCTTCAGTAGGGCTTAAAAACCTTTAAGAAATAAGACTTAACTGGTTGAAAGAGTAATGAAGAACATCAAACCTTCAAGCTTTTTTCATGCCTGTATCTGTTCTGCCCTTCCATGATACCATGCAAACTATTCCTACTGCAGGAACATTGTAAACTTATCGGGAAGAAGTTCGTCCTTACTATGAAATCCCCACTCTCACCCCCTTCAGATTTCTAGAAGGAATGATTACTCATTCAATACAGTAATTACATTTTCACTTGCACCTCAGTAATTCTGAGATGCAGAGCTGAACATGTTAGGAAAATGAATGAAGTATCCATTTCTAAGTAACAATTCTAACTATTAAGTCTAAAACATAGAAACTCACATTCCTTATTATCAGTTTTCATATAGTTTCTCCTCAGGACTTTTCCCATGTGAGAGGGGAGGAGAAGATCCAGGCTAGGTTTTTAATTTACTTCCGGAACAAGATGCTGAAACATTACACTTCAGTGACCAAAATACTGAACAAGTCTAACAATCTCATTTCTTTCATATCTCTTCTCCAGGTAGAGTGTACCAAGTCCTGAATTTAACAATACAGCCACCCTGATAAATATACCAGAATTTCATGAGATTCTACTTAGCCATTTTTATCATTAATAGTAATTATTAACAGAATTTATTACAGTGCCATCATCCTTACTACAACTTAGCTTATCTGGGGTGCTGTCTCAAGATATAAAACTCTAAAATTGCATGCAGAGGTAAGAGAGATTGATTACCTGGCATAACCAATGATTAGACTACCGAAGACCGTTCCAATACCAGCACCAGAACCAGCCACACCTACTGTGGCAGCACCAGCACCAATGAATTTGGCAGCAGTGTCAATGTCCCTGCTGATAGCACTAGTCTGGAATTCTCTAAGTGCTAGTCGGAAGACAGTATTTTGGGCCCCATTAAGTGTTGAGTTGCCCTAAGAAAACAAAACATGAACAAACATTATATTCAGGCACAGACCATTTTCTATGACCACTTTGACAAGTGTTATTCTACAGTTTTAAAAGTTGTGTTAGATCCAATGTCTAGTTCCTCTTCCAAGTGAGGAGACTATAACTCAAGACTTAAAAACTTCAGAGTATTACCTGTTCCACCTGAAAGTAATCAACTTTAAATGTAAAAGACTTCTCAGGGGAAACAGCAAGAACTATTATTAGGTGTTTGACTTAAAGCAAGTTTCGCGCTATAGATGTTTGAGTTAGTACAAGTGAACTCTAGGTTGAGGACATTTAGGCTCACCAGGTAATTTAGGAAGATACAGAATTTTGTTTATAAGGTACCTCTCCAGTCTTGACCTCTGGCCTAGACAACACAGATGCAGAAATTGGTCTGTACAAGACTCTTGATCCAGCACGGATCTGAAAGAGGAGCAAAAATGCTATATAAAAAAGAAACATTTTATTACAACTGTTCCCATACAATAGTCTGTAATTATCTACTAAACTGTTTTCCTACTTGAAGACAGAATATCTGCATAGCTGGGTATACAATAAACGATACAGAAGCAGGCACTGCCATGCAAACTGATAGCACTGTTTTCAGGAAACATTATTTCAAACAGCTACATTATTCAACGAACCTGCACATGCCTTACCCTGACAGAGAAGGTAGCAAAGCGATGGCAAAAAAGCCAGATAGACAAGCAGGCAAGTAACACACATGTTGCAATGGAAAAATGAAACCCATCAAAATTATTTCCAAAGTTGTTAAATGCATAGACATAACATAGACTTTTAAATGTAGCGAGGCATAAATGAATGAATCCTCCTTCACAAACGGCCTGCATGTGTCCTTGGGCTTCCACCAGTCTAAGGTCATATCGGCTCTTGCACAAAGCTCGTCCTGCAGGGGAAACCT